TTGGTCCCTCTTTGGGGCACAATCAGACTGAACCATAAACACAATGTTAGGTTTGTCTTCGACTTCCATATCAGTCTCGTCACCCTTGCCACGCACTTGGTAAGCACATTTCGGCTTTTGAGGTCTGGATGACGTTCCTGAAGTCTTCTTTCCCCAGCACGCTGAAGTCTCATGTCCGAATTTATTGCAGGACGTACACTTCAGCTTGCCTTTCCAATAACATTTCGCGGTGGCATGATTATGCCTACCGCAAATCGAGCATTCCGGTTGGTTCTGTTTGGGTCTTTCCTTCTCAATCTTACGCTTTTTCCTGCGTTTGGTACTCTTAGCATAATATCCTTTCTCCTGCGTACCGTGTGTCTCCCTGCGATTATATTCATCTATAATCAATGAGGTAATCTCCTGGGAGGTTATGCCTTTTGTCCCTTGCATATCCGCATGTGTACCAAGGTACGAGGATGTGAAGGCATCCCAAGAGTCCGGTAAGGACATCACGAGCAAGGACTTGTATTCCTTGTCCGTAATCATCTCGCCCATAAGATGTAGGTCATTTTGTTGCCATTTCATCTCATTGATATGTTCGACAATATTGACGCCTTCAGTTGCCCGCATAGTGAATAAATTTCGCTTTGCGACGACGACGCTTTGTTGTCCTCGAACTTGATGAATACTCATCAGGTTTGTCCACATTTGTTCGGCTGTTGCAGCCTCTGTAACATGCACCATCTGCTCGTCAGTGATGCTGTTCATTATCAAGGTCTGTGCAACTTGGTCGAGTTTGTTCCAGGTCGCTAACTCATCCACCTTGCCTGCATCAGGCTTTTTCATCGTGCCGTCGACATGTTCAGCCACGCCGTGAAGCTTGAGAAGGCCCATCATATGGGCTTTCCATCCACTCCAGTTTTTTTCTTTCAGCGGTTCAATTTTATATGACGACAACGCTCCTAAGTTTATTTCTTTAGGTTTCTGAGTAGCCACAGGAACAGGTACTGTTGCAGGGACAGGTACTGTTGTGGAAGCCCCAACAGTTGTAGAAGTCGGAGGATTAGGATTGGGATTTGACATCTTGCTTGTTTGTGTCAATGTATTGCTTTGATGTTAACTTTATAACGTATCACAGGGCTTGTAACCTCTTAAGATTTAGGTTCCGGGCTTAGTAGGAACAGCGACAATAATAGGAGTTCGTGGTGCGCAGAATATATTCGGCTGATTCCGTTTATCTATTATATCAACTAACTACTCCGCCACTCAGATGCTCTTGTAACTCCGCTAGGAAGTGCACGAACCATGTCGGCTGATTGCTATGTCACAACACCTACGAATCCCTGAAGGTCAATACTTTCTTGCGGATGCTGGTTTTGGTACCTCCAATGTCCTCCTTGTTCCATACCGGAGTGTCCGTTATCATTTGAAAGAGTGGCGACAGGCCAATATCAAGTAGTACTAATCCTTTATTATTTTAAGTTAGCATCTGACTGGGATTCTACACAGGCCACAGAATGCCAAGGAACTATTCAACCTTCGTCATGCTGGACTTCGCAATGTGATTGAACGCATTTTTGGCGTTATGAAGCGTCAATGGGGCATCTTGCGATATGTCCCTGAATATAACATGGATATTCAGGCTTGGATCCCTGTAGCGCTGTGCGCACTGCACAACTTCAATCAAAGGTATCATCCTGACGACTTTGACGTCGAATCTGACGGAATGAACCTTGATGTTGCGTTGGGCGAACTCGGCGATGGACCAGCTGACGCAGCAGAACGGAGCAGAGCGGATCAGCGGCGGGAGAGAATTGCAGAGGAAATGTGGGCTGACTATCTCAATGAGCATAGGGAACGAGGACTTCCATTGCCAGGTACAGCTTGAATACAAATAAGTAGTAGTTTGTATTGTCGTACTACACTCCGCAGGAACCGCCGCTTCAAGCTCTATACCATTACTACATCGTCGTCTTGGTTGGACTTGAGTTTGCGGAGAGTTTTCTCCAACCAGGCAGCTCGAGTTGTCTCTGGAAAATTAGAAAAAATTACAGCCTGTGTCTTGTCCCTAGCGAAGTAGTCTGTGATCTTGAGCTGATCATCAGCTGTAAGAGTCTTATGTTCTGATAACAAGACAACAGCACGAGCAAGGGGGTCAGATGAAGTAACCTGGGGGGAGTTTGGAGGTAGTCTTTGATGTAAGTAGCGAGCTCCTTCATCGTCTCAGACCCATCCTTTTGTGCCTGGGCAGTTACAGATAGTGGCCGGCGTGTATGTTTTCGAGCGCTTGCTTCTGATTCAATAATTGAGGGTGTGGAACTGATTCTGCGCTTTGCACTGCGGCTAACACTTGTCAACACAGACGAGGGGGCTGAGCCACCACCGGAAGAGGTAAGGAAACAAGATGGAGTAGAGGGCGATGTTGATGAGGGATCACTGAAAGTGGCCGATGGCCCAGGAGTGTGGAGAAGCCCACTGCCACCTGCTTGCATGACTTCTTCGGTCGCAGAGGTAAGCTGGCTGAGATTAAAGGAGGGAGGAGTAGCCTGAGGGATGTCATTGCCGGTGGGCACTGGAGGTGGTCGATAGACATGCGATCCTTTTGCAATCTTTGGCATCATCTGCTCCATAGCAGAGGTATGTTTGAAGCCCTTATTTTTGAAGGCCTTCGCTGCAGGGCGTCGCTGAGAGTGATTGCATTATTAGTAGTGCCGGCTGCAGCAGTGGCAACAATACATACCTTGACGTACCGATCCCAGACATCGTCATTCTTCATCACTATTCCAGCTCCATACTCATCACTCCATGTAAATCCCGATGTGTTCTTGATATCTGCGACAGCACCAGTATGATGTTTTGAGCTGCAAGACATACATTCTTTGAGTTTTCCCTGATCACCGGCAACACGATCATCGGACTGATAACATACAGATTGCCACTTGTTCTTACAAACACCAGCTGTCTTCTCAGCACCAGATGCATTTGGGAATCTCTCCTTCAGTAGATTTGCAGCGCTGGTGAGTGTTGTACCCTTGGGATTTCCATCGCCACTTGCAGAGAACTGAGATAACAGGAAGTCAATGAAAACAGTTTCTTCTTCTAGCGTCCAGGAGGCAGCAGGCTTTCTTTTGCTTTGGTTCTTCTTCAATTCTACTGGATCAACGGTACCACGAGAATGAAGGGAGTGATTAGATCCATCACTGTGGCTTGATACATTAGATGACATGGCGGTTATGGCGGGGAAGCAAGGTGCCCTGTGTGAAAGAATCTGTGTGATCCGGGATCTCCCAGACCATGTGACATGACTCAGTTGAAATTTGAAATTTTGTTATTCATTGTCCGGATGGGCTCTTACAGCTCGCTCAGTGGTCATCTCCAATGAACGTATCCAATTAGCAAGCACGGCCGCGAGACGCTTGCAATTATATACAACTTACAGTATGCTCTACTCACGTAGAGGTACGTTCGACCACAGCCTCCCCTATCAATTTCAAATTATTCATTACAGCTGAAAGTATGATGTTTTTCGTGCTTGCATTCTTTACTGAATGTCCTCTGGACCTCATCACTCAAGTGCAGTCCCCTCGGTCCCTGTGAGTGTGGCGGCAATATTGACGGACCTGTTTGTATATTCTTAAGCTCTTTCCGGAGGCTCCGGCTGTCACTGATGCACTACTATCATGATGGTCAGCTCCGTTAGCGGAGGGCAGGATATTTTTGGTGACGGCAACATAGAGGTTGTAGTGACAATGTTCGAGGTGCAGCATATCTGCAATGAGTACTGTGATGGGCTGGCTTGCAGAAGTATCTGAGTCAAGATGAAATAATCGAAACGCAGGACTCTCAGTAGTGAGCGTGATGTTTGGATTTCCCCGACAAAGATGCTCCGGACTCTTGATAGCGAGCGTGATCTAGCGTGATGCTGTTGTATTCACGTAAATTTACTCCTTGACACGAACTTGAAAATGATGTACAATATGACTTCCTTCTCCGCATCTACCATGACGTGTCACAACTGATGGATCACAGTTTGATATATTTTTCCGATGGGGGTGTTTGGAGGTCAATGGAAGCACTTGTCTCAATTGGTGGTTCTGAGAAGAAGTTGTAAAAGTAGAGCACGGTGGTCTGGCTTTCCATAAGACATCATAGCAAGAATACTTCGAAGATCAGCACGGCGGGGCCCGGGCAGAAATCATCTATGGTGTTCAAACATTCTTCGCCAGTCACTGCTTTGCCATTTCAACGACTCCAACTTTTACCTTGATCCCATTGGTGTCCCTGGATGCAGATTGTCTTTCTACTGGAATTCAGGCTGAAACACTTACTTCAATCAATCAGATATCATTCCTCACATATCACTTCAGCAATGTAAGTGCTGGATTGTGGTATATCAAGCACGAATGCGATTGTCATACGTCTGCCAAGTTCCCCCGCTCGCTCCCATCCTCTAATAGTATGCCTGTCATCTCGAATGATCCCATTTGGTGGCCAGCCATCAATGCGAGCATTATTGCCAGCTATTTTATAGGTTCGTGGAGATCCAGCCACATTACCACGTTGATAACTCAATTAAACTTGGCTGCGGTTTCACAGTCGCTGCCTCTGGCGGGGTAATGTACAATTGGGGTGAGCAAGACTAAGTATGAAATGACCACTGATATCCTTATGGTATTCTCAGCACTTACGTTTGGACAAGAGGTACGTCAATCCATCACTGGGGCAGCCAACTCGCTTAGAATTGCATTATAGGTTGAACTGATCTGGGTGAGTGGACTTCCACATCAAAAGAACGACGTGAAAATACAACTTGTTCGTGACAGAGGCAATGCTAGTCCTTGATGACCTTTCTCTATCTCATTGTATGTACCTTGTATCTCAATATTTACACTCAGCGAGTACATATTTTGCTGACTTCAAAATATCCTAGGTGCGCTATGCTGGAATAGGATATGTTGTGTACATTTGGAAGTTTAAGGCATCGATGTTGTGCTCATTACCTATCTCTCACAATCAGGATGTGCACACTTGGTATGTCTCCTCGCATAGACTCTGTTTCATTCTTGTGACGGCCGGCATACAGTGGGTGTTCCAACTATTTCGATGACAGATGCAGTGAGTATTTTACACCAATGCTTTTCATTCTCATCCAAACAACTAAACTGCCATGCAGGGGTGAGTGTCATTCTCGAGCAACTCGTTGATTAAACATAACGACTCCTACAGTTGTGAGTTTGTTTCGAGCCTGTGATTTTCCGAAGCTGATAACTATTGTCACTGGATTTGTCAGGCCATGTCATATACGACGCATACATTTGGACGGGTGAAGTTGTAGCGGCAATACTGGGCTGTGAGCTATATGCCTCTGTGATATTTACTTGACTGAAACATCATGCAAGTCATCATACTCGCTCGTGCCATATATCAGCGATCAAGAAAGGCACTGATATTTCTCGTGTCATCCGTCTGGCCATCGCAATCGCCAATGCAGTGATCAGCGTAATAATGATGATACATACTTCAGGGGGTAAGCTTTAATTATGTATGAAATGTTTGAGTGCATCAGGCTCATTGACAAATACCAGAGGAATACATTCTCTCCGGCACCTATCAGTGCATGATTTCCTACGCGGGAGAAGCCCAAATTTTGACTTCCATTACTTGGATACTTTCCACTGTATGGGAGGTCGTTGCCCTGTGTCTCGCGGTGTGAATTGCTGTAAAACACTTCCGTGAATTGCGACGACACTCAACAAGAGGTGTTATCGGGGATTGTTTCACGGTGTTAATACAAACTCACGTTAGCTACTTTGCAAGGTGAGCTCATGAGATGAGTGTGGTGCTCTTGTTCCGCTGAAAATTTGCATGTGCTAGTTTTTTGGCTGTCTCTTGCTTCGAGATCAGTTTATTATCTCTGACGCTCTCAGCGGTATGCCGATTTGTCACCGACCTTTACATGTAACCATGATTCATCATTTTTATAGGACACATATTCCCTGGACACTCAGATTAATTTCGGTCTCTCTCAGATATTCCAGTTTGTGCAGCTGTTTGTGCTGGGACCACGCCTGATCCTCAGTGTTCGAGAATATCATGCTGAGCTCGTGGCCAACTCTGATAGAGCATCTGCTATGACTTCAATTGCTTTTCAGGAGCACGTCCATGTGTCAACTAGCAGTAGTGTGTAGCACAGGAGATGCTCGATATGATTGATTTGCGATGGGCACAGGGAGCGGGAGAATTTGTTTTTATTTATTCAAAGTTTTGTTGTGGTACTTGCTTATGTAAGTTGTGAAGTAGATATTGGTCATACAAGAGCTTTTGGCAAACTATGAGCAGAGACCTCTCCCTGATGCACATACTTCAGTCATTTTCCAACATAGAACCAGTGCCCCAGATGTGCCAAAACCTTGTAGAATCATGGCCAGCCAGTCCTCACTGCTCAGCTGGTCCATGTATAATACATGCTGGCCAGCCTTATATAGTCCACTACATTAGTAAAACAACCAGTTGCTTTTCTAACTTAATTTGTTACTTAATTACGTGAAAAGGATGATCAAGTCATTTGAGTGAAAAAGTGTAGGCCACTTAATTAAGCCTACTCCATCTCTAAATTTTCGCTTATTCCACACTTATTTCACTTAAAAAAACCAAATAAAGCAGCCTGAAATTCATAAAAAAGGGGGCATACATGACAATGATGAAAATTTAGGCACTACTTCCCCAATCAACAGATCCATCATGTGTGCTCTTGCCACCACAGAGAACAACCCCACTCGCATCAGTCACACTCTCATGGATCTTCAAGGCACTTGCAACTTGGTTTGATGTGTCGTTAGCATCGGTTCGCCTAGCATATCAAAGAAGTGTGTATTGAGCAATGGGGCAAGGTCTGACGGCTGGATGGTGGTGACACAATGCTTGCGGCAGGGCTTGTTTCATCCCAACATGATTCATGAGATGCCACACTTGTGTGAGTGAGTTTAGTTGTTTATGTGGTGTCATTGCGCGTGCCAACAGTACTTTGCAGTATCAGACCCTCATTGATAAATTCACTTGACAACATCACATGCCACCTGCATATGAGAAACAGACATTCTATGGCCATCTGCAACATATTTTTGTCATTCGCATTCCACATACTCCAGCTCTCAAAGTTGACGGTCCAACTACCATTTTCCTCGCTGCATTGTCAACATGCAAACTTGAATCCACTCCATCAAGCTTGAACACTCTCGTCATTCACTTTTACAGTAGCCTCAATGATACTTTAGATGTCGTGGACATTGTCTGCTTGCAATGTCTCGTTGGGCGTGTGCCAATGGATGGAGGTCGGCAGTGGGCAATCATTGACTGAAGCAGGATTCTTGCTCATGCAGCTTTCGAGGATTCTTAGCATTCACAAGAGGCGAGGTTGCAATTGAGATCATGTTCATGGATTTTGGTACTTGGTGTAAATTTTATCTAGCCCTTGTGAAATTTTAAGCTTGAGCAACTGAGCCTTACACTCTGCATTACACTGCTGCTTCTTCGCATTCCGGCATGCCTTGATGAGATTCTCAATATAGTCCACTGGCACAACAAGATTATCCTCCAGGACCATGGTTGTGTCAGGCATCATTGGGCTTGGAGGTCTTGGCCTGGGCAGCAAGTATCATGAGGTATTCAGGGGCTGAGGAGACAGTGGTCAGTATGTATATATGATACATAGGTCAGGAGCTCGGGATGGAGACATGTACATAATTCAACAGGGTCATCCAGATTCTCAGGTATCTTGAGGTGGCAAAACAAAGCTGGCTTGGGTGGTCTGGTGAAAGGTGATATTGAGTGGTTAAGTCAAAGAGAAAGTAAGATGACTCACAGTGCAGAAGAGTTGGTGGTCATATTGTTAGTGGCGCTGATGGGCAGTTGACGAAGATCAGTGATTTGATAGGTACAATTGAAACAGTGCGCGACATCAAAGATTATCATCTGTCAACAGATTTGGCATTTTTTTCAAGTGGTGAATGTAACTGAGAGAACAGGTGATTATCAACTGCAGGATGGATGGTGAATACAGTAGCTTGCAAAGCGTCGAAATTTACCCAAATAGGCAGTGTGGTGTTCAAACTTGGGCTAGCCTCGCAGAACCCCTTTTTGCTATAGAGGTCAGACCTCCTTGAGGCCACATCATATCCCTCCATCACTTCACTGCAAGGCCTCGACTCTTCCGACTCTCCCATTGTCACAGCGCACTATGCCCAACTCAGCTGATCTGAACCTGCTGCCTCGGCCACTTGCAGTTAGACAGGACCGTCCCTTACCTGCTGTCTCGGTCATATCACACCTCGGCCAAGTGTCCTGTCCCATCGGTACTGAGTCCTCCCATGTCCTGCCCATGTCCACCTATCTCCATTGATGCATTTTTAAGTTTATCTCACTGTTACTGAATGAGCAGCAGGCATTATTACATGTATTCCCATGGCTGCAGCAACCACAAGCCTTATTACATACTAACCCGAATACCTCACGTCTCGCTACTACTCTTGCCTATGTGATCCCAGACATTCACGTAGTTAGATAAATAGGACCCAAGTCTCATACTGTCTCTTACTTCCCTTCTCTGGACATACCTGCTACCATTGTGGGTATCACAACCTGGCAGGCACATATAAGAAAAGTGCTCAGCCAGTATAAGTGAGTCTCAGCTCTGCCTAGCTGCTATACTCGCAGAATGCAAGAACGTTCAACCCTAAAGGGGAAGCAAGGAAAGCAAGGATCCACGGAATGATGCTGAACAACCCTGGCGAATGGCAGTGAAAGCGCAAGAAAGCACGCGCGGGAAAGCGAAGTGTGAAAGTGCGCAAAGTGCGGGAAGGTAGTGCAAGCAGTGCACAAGTGTAGAAGATGGATACTGGGACTGATAAGAGGTAAAGCGCGGATCCAGACGGATACTGATGGTGCCACTAGCTATAGACTGATGCTAGGGCCTCAAAATGATGATGGACACATGCATTGCATGAAACTAACTGGTGATAGATACTGAGTGGTAGGAAGGTAAGGTGGAATAGTGGGGTGTAAAATGAACATGAGAGTATGTAAGTTCTACCTAAGCGCTCTCCCAGGGCTCGGAGCCGAATAGGGAGCGCTCTAAGTATGTAAATGAGGTAAAGTGATGTAAAGTAAGGGTCCATGATGAAATAGGAAGTGTAATATGCTAAATATGGTCAGATAATGAAAAGGGACATACCGAGGGACTGGTTGGATGGTAGATGGATGCTCCTGGATGATGCGCGACGCAGTGCGCTTAAGCGCGAGAAAGCGCACAAGGCGCGCACATGGGAATGCTGCGCATAGTGCAGGAAAGTGGCGCGCCTATGGCGCGTTTCACGGGAAAGTTGCGCGTGATATGCAGAGTCGACTGAAGACTTGGTGGATGATGGTGCGAGTTGTGCCATGAAGACCAGTTGTCAGAATTTGTAAAATGAGCCCATATGTGCCTGCAGAAACGCGAGTCTCTACATCATCTTGTAGACAAAGTTCTGGAGCACCTGTCATGATCATTCTTGGCTATCAATTTCAGAGTCCAATTGATCATGCCCCTTTCCCTTCTGCCCTGCCTATTGAGTGTGCTAAGGCCTCGTTCGGTAACCGTTGTATAAACTGAAATTTACAAAATACAAAATTTCGAAAGTCCCGGCATGTAAGCGGAGCTTGAACATGATCGGCAAGATCATCACTATCCTGATCAATGCCCAGTAGTAACTGTAGTTCGACGACTCGATCCTAAGTTCAACGTTACTAGTAATCAACAATTTATTAGTGTCATGGATGGGCCTGTTCAGCCCCTTCATCAGCCCCTCCTCGGTCCTTTGTTTCCTCACCCCTTGATTCCTTATCAACGTCTCCTCGCCGCTCAACGCATTCGGCCAACTCAGGGCCAGCATTTGGCGCAACTAACAGTTCGCGAGCTGGATGTTTCGTTATATGGTACTTCTTATCAGCATTCTTGTTGCTGCCACCGCACAGGTGGTTCTACAGGCCACACAAATTCCCCAAGCCCCTGAGCCGTATCACACATCTGCACTATCAGGCCATGAATGGGTCATAGAACTTATTGTTGGTCATCCTGAACTGCATCCACTGCGAGCTCGGGATGCATGTTCACAGTGTTTGAGGCTCTGATCAACGAGCTCCGTTCCCTCAGGTCACACAGATTCACGATATGTCTCGCTTGAAGAGCAGCTCGCCATATTCCTCTACTCCTGTGTTACAGGATTAACAATTCGCCATGTCGGCGAACGCTTCCAGCGCTCGAACGACACTATTTCTCGGTATGGTTAGTTTATATTAGGAAAAACTATTAGTTCTGATGCCTTTGTAGGTATTTTCGCAAGATGCTCGACATATTCGCATCTCATCCATTTTATAATAAATACATATGCTTTCCTGCTGACAATGACCCCGTCCCCGCCAAAATACGCAACAATCCGAAACGCTGGCCATATTTTAAGGATGCTATAGGAGCACTCGACGGTAGCCATATTCACGCATTCCCTCCTTCAGCTGAGCGCCACAGTCTATCACAACCGCAAAGGATTTCTCTCCCAGAATTGCCTTTTTGCATGCAACTTTGACCTTATGTTCACGTATGCATTGACTGGGTGGGAAGGCTCTGCAACGGACGTGCGGCTTTGGGATCAAGCGCTTGAAGGTGGCTTGAAAATCCCCCCCAGTAAATACCTTCTTGCGGATGCAGGATTTCCGTCCTGTGAAGAGCTTTTGATTCCTTATCATGGTGTTCAATACCACCTCTGCTGAATGGGGTCGCGCCAGTGTGAGGTAGTTGTTTCACTCGTGTTTTTTTTTATTTCAATCAAACCAATATTATATTTTCAGACCTGTCAATAAAGAAGAACTCTTCAATCTTCGTCACTGCCTCAGCACTGAAATGTCATTGAACAAATCTTCGGCGTCTTAAAATGACGCTTTCGCATTCTCCTCTTATCCCCGGAATACAGGATCAACACTCAAGCTCGGATTCCTGCGGCGCTATGCGCCCTACATAATTTTATACAGGTTCATGACCCATTCGAAGATCCATTACCATCAATGAGTGTCGTGAACAACAATCCAAGCCATCAAGGAGATCCTCTAGCAGCTGAGAATGGACCTGCATGCACAATCTGCTAATGCACGCCGTGATCGCATCACGACACACATGTGGGAGGATTATGAGGCTTACTTACGCGAGCATGACTTAGAGGATGATGAAGATCTAGGTTCTGATCTTGACGAGGAAGATGAAGCCGAAGATGACCTTTATGATGGGCGCGAGTTTGACGAGACTGCTGTAGAATAGAATTGTTTTGTAGCTACAATTGAAAGTTTTATGCAAGGATCAAACGAGCACATGAAGCTACTTGTATAACGCAAAGAAGGGCTAGGGCTACAACTAGTAAGCCTACAAACAAAAAACGAGCGGGAAAAGTAGGAGCTACATGGTAGGGTTCTCTTGTTTGGCACGGGCGATCATAGATTCTAAAAATGCTTCACGCAGCTCAGGGTCATCAACATCTAAGAACGTATCACATGCTGCTGCGTTCGTCATGAACACATGCATGAGAATCACCTTATCGTCCTTCGAGATCCCTGTAGCTGACTGCATTAACTTCAGTGCGCGCTGACCTATGTTCAGCTACACGAGCCTCGTCAGTGCCGAAGTTCGTGTTCAATGAATCTGACAGGTGGTTGATAGTGCCTTGAAGATTCATCAACACAGCTGTGTTGGCAGTGTCTTGAATGTTCTTCTTGCTTGTGCTTGGGCGCGTCTTACCACTGGCTGTTGACAGCCTTGGTTTCTTCTCCGATTCCGGCTTTGTCACCTGCGACACTGAAGTGTAGGTGGTGGAGGGAGGAGCCGAATGACCTTGGGTCATCTCGGAGTGTGAACGCTTGCCAGTGCTGGAGCCTGATGACATAGGGACAGACGACGTGGGGGGGGGCAACACTGATACTGCCACCTGCAAATATAGGACCAGGGGGGGGAGCACCCCAGCCGAGGTTCGGCTGGGCCATGCTGGGCTTCATGGGAGTGAGATCAGGAATGAAAGGAGGCCACTGGGCCACACTGGTGTCGATGGGAAAGAGGTTTGGAATAAAAGGAGGCGGCCCCATGCTTTCAACATCCATCATGCTCATGTCAGCATCATGAGGTGCGCTGCTTGTGCTTGCAACCGGTTGCTCCACAGCCGGTGCAGCTGATTGGGCAGGGTTGTATGCAGCCGTTCCTTGTGCAGCGCTCTTCTCGGGGAGGATTTGGTCCATCGTTGAATAGAAAGGCCAACCATTATTTTTGAATGGTTTCATGGGCGAGTTGGACTGTAAAGCGTCAGTTTCAGTGAAGATCAAAGCGATATTGGCACATACCTTCTTACTAACATGTTCCTTCCACACAGCTTCAGCGGTGGGCCCATCGATGTTGGCCCCACACTCATCATCCCAATGACAGCCTGACTTAGAGCGATACGTCTGGATGGCTTGGAAAGTAGTCTTTAACTACATAGATGTAATCAGTGCAATGATGGCGGCAATCAATATGAAATAACATACCGTCCCCCATTTACTCTTGCACTGCTCCCCAGTTTTGGGAGGCCCATGTGTCCGCTTGCTTGCGATCTCTATCGCAGCTTGATTGTATATCATGTCTTTGAATGTTGCCCCTGCCAGTGATGACTTCTCCGCGATAAGATATGTGAGCATGGCATCAATCTCATCAAAACCCCCACTGGGCCTTTGGCTGTTTAGGAGCCTTTCGCGTCATATTAGCTAGTTGTATCTGAGAGCAGATGATTATAGCAGCGACGGCAAGCCAAATGTGCTGGTGTTGGAGATCATCAGGATGAGACTTTGATGAAGTCATGGTCAGAAGCAAAGCAAATTGAATCTCAGCTTGCGGCTGGTATCATGCCGGGACTTTCGAAATTTTGTATTTTGTAAATTTCGTTTATACAATGTATGGTTACCGAATGAGGCCTAAATAATTGGCATGAACTGGAGCAGACTCATCTGTCTCGCACTATGTGTAAAGTATGATTAGTTGACTTGGCAGTCATCAGGCTGTGCAAATGATTGCAGGGGGAGCACGTCAGCTGGCCAAGCCAATATGCTCCAGCCTCCTCTGCTCCATCTGAGCAAGGTATCAGATACAGACTATGGACAGCAACATCATTATTAATATGACACATAAATTGAGCACCACCATGGTATAGGGCTGGAATACATTCTGCTATGGCACACCGAGTGCCCAAAAAAGGTAGCAGGTGTTGCCACTTTAGCTGGTGCTACAGCTTATAATGCGAAAGGCCACACGCGGCAGAGCCCGCTACGTTCGGTTTTTCCCGAGCCATGACGTGTATTGATTTGATTTTAACTGCTACAGATACAAATATTGTAGAATCAACGAGAACAATCCAACGTGCCATGAATATAAGTACAAGACAAGTCGGAACCCAGACGAGGATACAGGCGAGTGCTATAACGAGAAGCAGGCTGAAGTTAGAAATACAGAAATTGAGTCGCGAGAAGAAGAACAGGAAGACGTGAACTTTGCCAACTGAGTCGCAGTCAGTCCATTTTTTTCTTTTTCTTTTCCCTTCCCTCCCTTGTGTTTTTGGCTGTTTGCGTGTTTTGTTTTTTTTGGCGGGGCTGATGGCAACGTCAAATGTAGAAAAACCCGCAATGGCAGAGTCGTCCTTTGACATGTGAATGGATGTCATGGAAAGGATGGGGATCATGTGCTCATTGACAGGTTCATCAGAAGCATCCAGGACCTTTATGGCTTGTACACCGAGCTGGAAAGTCTGAGAGGGTCTGTTAGCAACTGTTTTCGAACGACGCTGTTTGGTACCCACACTGGTCAGCTGGCCATTCTGCACCATGTTGTATATGTGAGCGTCGCAGACAGCGAGAACGAGCATTCCAGGCCTCAATTTGGAGTAAGTCTCCTGCATAGGGATGAGTTTTCCGCCATTCTCTGCCAAGTCATAAATGTTGAGCTGCTTCAGTTTGTTTTGTCGCAGCTGAAAATATGACCCGCAGTAGTCCAGCAGGATCCGCGGGTCGTATAGTGCTCTTGGAGCGACTTTTATAGAATGAGCAGATTATGTGTAGGAGCGCGAGGATGATGAATACCTTTATCCGGTTGTCTTCTTACTTGAGGGTCTTATATGTTGATCAGAATACAATGACTATCACAATTGTATTCTTTACAGCAATTTGCATAATGGTAGAGGCCGGCAGTATTTCCAAAAAAAAATGTGCATTTATTTAAAAAAAGTAGTCCTACAAAGATTGAATTTTATCTCAACAACGAAGCAAGCTATTGACATGGTCCAAGCGACAAAACTGATCAGAAAAATCGAACGAAGATGACCAGCGAAAAAACTAAGCGATTCGGTGAAGTTGGTAGTCACCTGCCCTCAGAGCCAACAGTCTACAACAACGGTTTTTCTCCGTCAAAAATCTCTCTTACCCCCTACTATGAAAGGCCACAAATCATCACAAGAACTATGCGAAATTATCATCCGAATGCTACCACTCCTTGACACGTCCAAAATCATGGCATACACTGGTGCAAGCAAATCAACAATAGAAAAGATTGCGCAATGCTATCAATTGACTGGGAAGCCATACAAAGAAAGCCGGAGTGGTGGTAGAGCTCGAATAATGGACTTGGAAGATATCGAGGTGCGTCCACTGCATTCAATCTCCTTCTGCACAAATTCTGACATAACAAAAGTACATGCATGGCTGTTTGTCCCGCAGCTGTGATATGTATCTAGACGAGCTCCGTGATGAGATTAGCAATGCTCGCGGGAAAAACCTGTCATTATCCACGATCTGGCGAACGCTTCATCGCACGGGCTACTCAAGGAAGAAGGTTTGTGTCTTGATTCTTATTGACAACAATGTTTGATTGACATGTGCGATAGATTACTCGAGAAGCGAGAGAGCGGAATGCTGATAAACGTGCTGAATTCATGTATCGGATTGGCCTCCAGTATCGGCCTGATCAACTCATATTTGTTGACGAGAGCTCCGTAGATCGGCGTACTGGCCATCGTGGTTATGGCTACTCACGAACAAATAGACGTGCATTACAAAGGGTTTTTTTTGTTCGTGGCCGACGGTATGACCAGTCAACAATCACTTGAAGTGGAAGTGTACTCATTTCCGAGAACTGATAGGTACTCAGTGCTCCCAGCCCTTAGCTTATCAGGGATCCTGCTCGTGGACATTATCGAGGGCTCTTTCACCAAGAGAAGATTTTCTAAGTTCATAGATGCGTTACTCGATCAAATGAATCCCTTCCCTGGTCCGAACTCGGTCATAGTCATGGACAACTGTAGCATTCACAAATCCGCGCTTGTACAGGAAATGATACTCGAACGGTAGAGTAACTTGATCATTCAGGTATTGTTCCATCTAACTGCCGGTGTCTTTGCAGGGGAATGAGATTTGAATTCTTGCCGCCATATTCTCCAGACTTTAACCCCATCGAACTGGCATTTTCAGCCATGAAACACCATCTTCGTCGTGATCAGCTTAGACTTCAGATGGCAACAGAGGGCCTGTGATGATGCTGATGTTTACGCTGTATTGAATGATGCGATATTTACTGTGACACCGAATGATGCAGCGGCATGGTTTCATAAATGTCAATACTTGTAATTACGGGTGACAAATTAGATATGGTCTAAGTATGTGTAGACAAAATGTTCGTACTAGTAATATGACCGTCTGCGCTTGTGCCTAAGATGCTGCATCTGTTCCGCCTTTATCACCTCACAGTCCTTTCTCGCATATGTCTCAATAAGCCTTGCAGTCCCAACAGAGACGTCAGGACACCATCCCAAAATCTTCTCTGCAATGGTGAGTGCCGGGTCAATGATCTCGAACAGGCGCTTATACCCAAAGATATGAAAATAGTCAATAATGCTATCTCTTGCAAACACGCGGTTATCACCCCGTGGCCCTTGATCCAGTTCCTGGAGCCAGTCAGATATGAGTGGATAGAGTGCAGGATTGCTGGCATCAACAGCTTGATCAATGTCCGACTCGAAATCGGGTGAAGGACGTCGACGGAAATGATGATCTCGATCGTGAGTATGATAATTCGGACCTGGGAAATGGTGTTGGTATGCGAATGAGTAATGATCGTGGTTCTGGTTTGGATACTGATATGATTGTGGTGGATAGTAGAGCTGACTGGGAACAGGCGGCAGATAATTGTAGAAAGGAGGGGGCACAATCGGCTGAGGAACATTGAATGGGTGAGGTGCCACATGATGGTAAGCAGGCGGCTGCATGCTAAGTATGTTTGCCGGTCCCTGATATACATGCTCTGGTACCTGTTGAATTCTGCTGGCTGCAGGACTTGACGAAGCAGTTTCAAGTTGTTTAACTATGGAAACAGGGTCTGCCTGTCTTCTCTGTGCATCATGATCCTCGATCTTGAGCTGAGGGGGAGGTTTTCCCAAGTTGTATTCATCAGGAAACTTGTTCTGTAATAGTCTCGTCAGCACAATCACTTAGCGAATAAGTGAAGTAGTACTCATACAATCATGAACGCCCAGTGGCTTATGTCGGACAATGGAATTTTATGATGGTCACCATTTTTCATGACAAAACAACACCCTTGGTGTTGCGCACAGGCATATTTCAGTTGCAATCCAACAACAATCTTCGGAGGGGGGAGTTTCGCAACATCAGTGTCATTATTCCAGTTGACAGAATCAGTAGGTTTTCCATCATCATCACTGTCCTCGTTGTCTGCCTTTCCCTTCTTGCTTGATCGAGCCTAAGTGAATTCGTAGGTTATTTTGTGTTTTGCCACATTTCTTATTCGAGCTTACCTTTGTCTTACTGCCAGTCAATGCCCCCTTCTTCAATTCACCTTTGCTTACTTCTGGCAACCGTAGATCAACAACAACTACTGAAAACTTCTTCTTCCGTGACCTTCTGGTTGCACTGCTGAGTTCTTCACTTGCATCCTCAAGCAACTGGAGCAGGTTGCGAGCTGAGTCGAGTTTACGTGGGGGATCCATCTTCGCATTGGTTGAAAACTTGTAGGCAATACTGAGATCCTCTAGGGAGATCTCCATAGCCTTTGCAATCTTGCGACAGAAAATCTCCCAGGATATATCGGACCTCACAGTCAAAGTGTCAAGGACGCCATTGACTGGCACATGGAGAGGTATGTCAACAACATCTTCGTCAGTCTCAGGTTCTTCATTATCTTCGATGCCATCGTCCGATTCAGATTCTATGTCACAGACAGAGGTAGTAAGTTTCGTTTATGAGAGCAGTGACACATTACTCACCATCCTCATCTTCCAACTGGCTATGCTCGTCATCCAGGCCACCGGTCTCGGATTCTTTGAGGTTCTGGAAGAAGTCTTCTTCCTCGATATTGTATTCCCCAGCCGGATCTGGGACCTCCGAGTCTCCAACTGGCCGAGCTAAGCCAAGTAACAATGCAGCGGCGGCTGTGTTCTCATCAAAGTCAGTGGACTTTGATGCCACTACAGTTGCTCCAACATCTGGTGTGGAGCTGGATCCACCTGGCACTGTGGCCGCTGACGACTCCGGAGTGCCGAGCTTTTTTTGTGGAATGGGCCGTGGCCGTGGTTTAGGCTTCGAGACGACTTCTGGAGTTGGAGGAACTTGAACTTCCACCTGGGTCATACTGGGGGGCTGAAATTTCTTTTTGGGAGGACGGCCTGCGTTTCCGAGGCTCCTTGTCATTGCGCACTCGGGTAGAAGCCTTCGCCATCCCGCAAGATAATGTAGCAGACCGGGAAAAGTGAGTTGTGTGTGAATTTGGTTTTTATGCTAATAGACACGACTTGTGTCACATGAGGCAAGTGTCCTCTTCGCTAAATAATTCCATTCTTTCTGCAGTCGTCTGCGCCTCATTTTTCCGATCATGTTTGCATCTTACCGCTTGTCGTCATCTTGCTTCAGTTATTGAAATAAAAACCAATCTTCGTAGTTCTACTGGCTCTGAGGGCAGGTGACTACCAACTTCACCGAATCACTTAGTTTTTTCGCTGGTCATCTTCGTTCGATTTTTCTGATCAGTTTTGTCGCTTGGACCATGTCAATAGCTTGCTTCGTTGTTGAGATAAAATTCAATCTTTGTAGGACTACTTTTTTTAAATAAATGCATGTTTTTTTTTTGGAAATACCGCCGGCCTCTACCATTATGCAACTGCTGTAAGACTAAGGTGCCAGCTCCTCAAGTTCACGGTCAACGTATTTTCTACTTCTCGGTTGATAACGTGGTGTTCATGGGTGGCCAAAGGGTAATAAATTACTTCTTTGCTAGATCACTTCTTGATAGTAAAGGAGTATATATATTTTGTCAGGTTAACTCAAACCTAGTAGGTAATATGGACCTCTCTGAACTGAATGTGGCATGAATACGTAAGACGATGGATAAAACAATAGATTATTGTATAGGCGATCCCTGTAAGATAGTATACAATCAATCTAGACTAAAAGAATACGATTGTTTTCAAAGGCAACTCGTAGGCCTTCACTTTCTTCGTGATCTCACAGTGTTGAGACAGAAAGTGGGAAAACTCCTGACTTCAAATTCCTACGTTCCCACACGGTTTGGGAAAAGAATGGAAGGGGAAAAACTTATATATTATGTGAGAATGGAGTCCTTATATACATTTTAGAAACCATCCTTACTAAGCAATGAGTCATCACTGGATTGGTAAGATTATGCTTGCAAACCAAGCCTTTTGGTGTGCTGAATCAGCTGCTTACTAAAGTACATGAGTAAAATAATATTACAAAGCATGACAAATCATGACAAAACATGATGAGTCATGGAAAGTCCTTACAAATCAGAATATTACCAGTCACATGACATGCTTACAAACATATCTGAGTGGCTCACTGATGTAATCAAGTGGCTGAATAAACATAAACAAATAATGGAAAGAGACAGAAACTACAAATACAACTAAATAAATAGAAACAAAGCTTACATAAGTAGGAAGTATATCCTTTGTACACTCCTCTACTCATCTCCTTTTACACTGCTATTCATATATGTCATGGTATGAACTCCATACCATGCATGACACCGGAGCAGGAGTCGGAATGTTCATGTTGGTGTTCGAGGTTGCTATTGAGCTCGTGGATGCTGCCATACTCTGCTGTCCTATCATACTGTCTTCCATGTTCTTTCGTTTCATTCAGTCAAGGAGTGGCATCTTGGTTGGCATTGATGCCTTCTGGTTTCTGTAGGAGAAGGTGAGTCACAGTAAATGTGGAACTCTTTTATTGATTTTCTTACCTCGTAGATGTGTTGCGACGTCAGCATGATGAGGTCTGTGTATTGGAGGTCACTGGCACTCTTATTGATGCATGCATTTATTTTTGAACCCTGTTGAGTGTGTTAGTGGTTGTATAGTGTTATTTTTCGAGCTGACTGTCGCCGCTCTCTTGCTTTCCTCGCTAACCCAGTCCTCAATTGATGTTAATTGGTTCTCCCATATGTCTATCAGGTTCGGGGAGCTTAGTGTGGGTTTGGAAATAGCCCACTTCCATTTGACTGTGTCTGAATCGCTTAGCAGTATGTTCTCATTTTGAATGTTAGATCGTGCTTATAAGTCAGTAGTATACAGACTCACCTTTTTGGTAAAGTGAGTGCCTTTCGTGGAATGCTTCATGCCGCATGTTGAAGTGGCGATTTGCCCAACAATATTCGTTCTGAATGGGCGACCATCCTTGGTGTTGACATAGGACCAATTGGTCCCACTGTAATTATCTTGGACGGTCGTGGTCCAATCAATTCCAAAATCTGCTTCGCCCAGGCCATCCTTCTCAAGGCTCATAATGGCATCAGCGACTCGGTCATATATACCATCGGCAACACATTGCGAGAAGCATTTGACTTCAATATCAGCCGAAGACATAGTGATGGTTCAAGTGAAAGAGTCAGCGACCTGTACTATGTCGAACATCATACTTAAATAAAAAGAGGTAAGGATTACAAGGGTATGACGCACAGTATGATACGTCATGTCACTGCTGACAAAATCTGATCTCGTCAGCAGTCAAGACATTCTGCGATGTTTTGTACATTGTGGAGGAAGGTGTGCTGGTTGAGGCATGGGATTGTCACCTGTTGAAGAACAGGTGGGTGCCTGTGTGCCTGCATTATTTTCGTCGTCTTCAAGGCCCGGGTGCTTTCTTTCTTTTCATCGAGAAGGTGGTTGTGCTGTCCCGGCCCGGGTTCCTGCTGTGCTTTGGATTAACGCTATGGCCTGTTGCAGGTTGTTTAATGCATTGGTTTGGTGTTTTTGATCACACGGTTCATTCTCTGTGATTGGCATGGACAGGGAGGGTAATCGGTTTCACGCTTGTTTCTGTTGTTCTTCGCTTGCATATGGTGTGTCTATGATGGTATTTAGATTTAACACGTCTAATCGAACCATTTCCTGACGGACGTCCTGTGAAGGGTGTGAGCAGATAACATTGTAATTGAACGGCCGAAGAACGAATAAACTTTGCAGACTTGTCACATGGGATACCATCACATATGGCTTTTCGGCGCCTCGACACCATTTAGAACCGAGATCAATGATGATTTTCTCAAGTGTCTGTCCTTGTGACTTATGTGCTGTGATCACAAATCCTGGAAGTACTGGCACTTGCGTTCGAGTGATTCGACACATTTTTTTGGAATTGGGGTGGGTGAATTTAAGCTCTGTGGAGTCTTTGATTATTGGGATCTCGTGCGGGGACAAGTTTGGGAGCGCTTCGTCCATTGAATGACTGATTTCTACGATGCAGGATCTTAAGACCCGTTGTCCTTCATCATTGAGTGAGTATCTGACTTTCATGAGCTTTCCTGTACTGCCATTGACAATTCTGCCTTCAACATCAAAGTTCTGGGAGACGAGGATCAGCATGCCAATTACCAGCGGGATCTTGCCAAGGCGCATGTTTGTTTTTCTGGAATTTAGACGCTGCATTTTTTGCACGAGGGCCTTGTCACATAGTATCTTTCCTTGATGTTTGTCTGTGCAATGGTACCAATGAAGGGTGTGTCTAGTCCTTTGCGCAAATGCCATCGTCATTCTGACATTTAGCTCATCTTTACTTGCATTATCACACACAATGATAGGAGCATCTTTCCAGTCGCAGTCGTCTTTGTGTCTAGCGCTATTGGTGATCACTCTAGACTGCAAAAGTCGGTAATCATCCTGTGTACATTTTCCTTGACGGAGGCGCGAAAGGAATTCGACAAATCGTTCATTTTCAGCACCCGACTGATGCATTACTGTTCTCAATAAGACGACTGTCTTCACCAACAGTCAGAGCAGCCTCCCGAATATGTTCTTTCAACCTTGTGTAGTTCCACAGCGTCAAGTGTCGAGGTGGGCATACAACTGTTTGCCGCTTACGGGCGAAAGCTGGGCGAAGTCTCCTGCGAAGATGATATTTATTCCTCCGAAAGGTGCAGTGTTCCCTTTCACGTCTACTAACGCATTATGAATCTTAGTTAGAAAATCGCAGCTTATCATGGACACTTCGTCTATGAATAAGTAGTCGGTACCCTCCCACATCGCAGTGAGGTCTCGTTTTGTCTGGGTATTTGCAGTTGATAAGCGCCTTTGATTTAGTAGAAGTGATGCATGTAGAGTCATTCCAGAGATATTTCGAGTGGCTACTCCCATGTACGAGGCAAGTCTGAACTGTCGTGCCTGGTTCCGTCTGACGAAGAAGTCTTTCAAGGCATTAATCACTCTCGATTTCCCTGTTCCTGCTGGCCCTCCGATAAAAATCCTTAATGGTTCAGTGTTGGTCAGTGTCATATCCTGTATTCCGGACCTTCGTCCGATGATGTTCCCACGCCTCCCGGACGCCTTCCGGATGCACATCCAGACCTCCATACCCTTATCCATGACTCCATACCCTTATCCATGCCTTTAGTCCTCCAGTCCACTATCGGTTTGGATCCGTACACCTTCATACATCCATATATCCATACCTTCGGACCTCTGCAGCTAAGCCTGCTTCATCCACCCTTGGTCCTATCGGATCCGAGCTCATTCCATCTTGGACTCTACTTCCCTAGACTATTGGTCTATATCCATGACCCTTATCCTAGTCCTGTCTTTACCTAGATCTCTGGATCCGCTCATCCGATATCCAGACACTTCATCTGATATCTCTAGACCTCTGGATCCGACCTATACTCATATCCAAAGCCCAAACCTTAAATCAGCGTCTATCTCCTTATGGTAATCCCCTTGACTCCGGACTTCGGTTATCTCTGTTTCCGTCTTGCTTATTGATCCTTGTACTCTGTTCATATCCGAGTTCATTTACTTATGTTCTGTTCATACTTACTAATATGTTTCCACATGCTCGTACATAGCATTTGTGTTCAGCTTACCGATCCTCTTGGATCCCTTCCAGTGTATAAAGATCTGTACAACTCCTGTAAAGTTTCCTTAGTTTGAATATCAACATAGACTTGCTCTCTCACATCTTAGACTTCACTCATTCTTGTCTCAGACTTCCGTCCATCTGAGTTCTGCCTTTCCATCAAGGCCTAGGGATGGATTCCCTAGGCTGGAAATCCGGACCTTCGGATTTGTCCCCTATGTCTCTGTTCTGAAGTCTAGGGATTGATTCCCTAAACCGAAGTTTTGCCTTTCCGGCACTTCCTGTCTTTCCGAGACTTCTGTCTAAACCCCGTCTATCCGACTCTACCATAGTGTAGTCTATCTCTGTTTGTTTCTATTCCGGACCTTGTCCGTAGTAGCCTTTCCTTTCCTGTCCTTCGGACCACTCCTCCTATCCTATCCTGCTTTGGACTCTGTCCCTTGCAGCCTATCCTCTATGTGTTTCTATCTAGGGAACTTACCTTGGGAAGTCTTACCTTCAGATCTAATACAGTGGATGAAACTCCTCCGGAGTTTCCTATACTCCTCCAGAAGTTTCTTGCACTCATCCAGAAGTCCTCTAGCACTCTACTAGAGTAGCCAGCCTCCGGAATTCCTTCGGACTTCGTCGGATTCCATCTGGACTTCATTCTGAAATTAAGGGCACGTACTCGGGTAAGGGGCACAGCGCACGAGCTGAGGCCAAGCCCTTCGGATCCGTCTACCCTTGAGCTACGGTCTTAACAGTCAGACGACTATGTTCTGCTATTATTTTGAATGCTCTGGACTGATCATCATTTAAAGTCCAGTCTTTTGCGACACATGAACTATTGACATCACGATATGGATCTATTGGGTGAGTACGGCTTTGAATATCAGGAACAAGGGTCTCATATGATGGCCTCGATTGAAGTGTTTCAATTGTCGTCGATGGCATGTTTTATTAGCAGGTGGACATGATTGAGTAAGATTATCAACGACTTGTTTTTTCTTCCATTTCATCCGTCTTTTTTTGTAGCACTCACACCAATTGTTCTCTTGTGAGGTATCTTGAATGTTCTCTTCTAAAGTCTGATTATTCTCTGGTTCATTATGCACAGGATTGTCCGGTAATGCAGTATGCGAGAGAGTCTCAAAAAATCGGCATGCATCCATGTGATGTAAACAGCAAATCAAGTCATCATTCATCGTGGATTGACGTATAGAACGACAGGAGTCCATGGATTCTAAGTGCATGAGTATGTCTTCATCTGTATTATCTCCAAATATGTCATCTTCATGAGGAGCACCACTGTGACTGATTATTTCGGTAGATATCCCTGCTAGTTTATGATGAAGCCGACGGTTTGCAAAATGGTCGTCACGACTGTCTTTACACTCATGTAATATTTGCATGTTGTTCAAGATCGAAGTCACAGTGTTCGAACAGGTACGCTGGAAGGTGTCAAATGCTTCAGTCCATGACTGAGTATCTCGCTTAAGATCAGAGACAGATCTCCAAGGTTTAAAAAGAACGAGCATCAAACGACAATATTTAGGATATACGGGTGCCTGATCTCGACGAGGCATGCGAGGTCCCATGGGTACAGGTATGCGTCGATTTTCTTGCTGTCTTACTCGCAAAAATGAGTTCGCAATTCATAATGTCCAGCTTGTAACTCTCCAAAAGGCCATGTTTTCGAATGGGATTGAAGGATGTCTTCTTTCAGCAAGGGTTGATGTGTTTTGGCAGGTGTCATTGGTGATTCCTCGATATCTATATTTTTATTGAGCTCATTGTCATTCATGCTTTCTTCTAGATCACCTTCACTCCTTGAACGGTCAATATCATCCCTATCGTCGTCATCATCACTGTCCACGTCATCAGCCTGTGATTTCTTATTTTTCCTGTTGATTTTCACCTTGTCTACTTGAGCTACGAAATCCCACACACATATGTTATTAAACTTCTTGTCCCTGTGAAGGTAGTCCATAACTTGAGCGGCTTTCGGTACGAGATTCCCAAAGTTATCGCTGTCGATTCGAATCTCATCATTCTGGAGTTGTTCAACATAGATCTCATCGTCGGCCAAAGATCCTTCGACAGGTTTTTGCTGCTGGTCCAAGTCCTCATCAGCTGCATCCAAATTTTTTTCTGTATTGTTTTCATCGCTGTCAGTGTCTTTCATAGTATCTGATGGTTGATTGCATTCGGGACTCGGATTGCATTCTTCTATAAAGGACTCGAAATTTGTCCAATATAGATTGCGGTACTCGTGGCTTGTGAAATGATCCTCAAAATCCATCAGGTACGAACAAACTTGTTGAGCAGACAGTTCTTGATGAGAAATCATTGAATGCGCACATTTTTGAAGCATTCTCTTAGCTCGTACTGTGCACTCTTCGTCGTTTGGATTGTATTCCTCTAGTTTGTGTATTGCAGTTTCCATAGCAGCCAATGCAACGTGAGTCTTCAATTGAGATTTTGTTATGTAGTCAGTGATATAATACAGTATTGCTTTCGCAGCAGGACCAGATCCAATAAACTTTATGTCCATGTTGCATCTCACAGCTTCGAGTATGGTCACATTAAAGTGGTTAACGAGACCATCTAAACACTTCAAGGTGATCTCTCCCGTGTCTGGATCCGTAAAGTTTATCGGATGCACATTTTTCTCATCTAGATCAAAACGACATTCTTTCGGTTCCAGTGGGCCTTTCCAGTATTTCCAACACATCTTCGAATGTCAGTGAGTCTGGCATTTCTTAGCAAGAATATGCATGTCTTTTTCACGCATCGTTTGTAGCGTCTCATCTCCCACATTCTGAAAATTGACTCCTTGAGTGGAACAAGGATGAGGACCTTCGTCTGGACACAGAGATAACTCTCCTTGTGGATATTCTGGGATACAAGTAGCTATGGTGTCTTCCAGATATCGAAGAAGTCATTCCTTAAATTCTTGTTTGTCATTTCTTAATATTCGGTCTTTGATTTCGTTAGGGTTCAGACCTCCTTCTAGCCATACCATCATATGACAATGCAGTGTTCTTCGGCCTTGAGCCTCGACACATCCATAATATGCACTGACGATACCAAGTACTCCCTCATTAAGGTCCACTCCTTTTCCTTCGAATCACAGGAGGCATTTAATGAATGTTTTCATATAGATATTGAAAAACTTAGCTGCAACAGCAGGATTTTGAGCGACAAGAATCGACTGATCATGAAAATTTGGCACCTGTTCTGGTAAGAGAATGTCAACATCTATCTTGGCACCAGCAAGAAATTTAACAAGAGGGTTGTATATGTCTGCTGGGTTGATCGTGATGTAGAAACTCAGTAAGCCTCGATCACACATTAAACCACAGATTTCATTTCGCATGTTCACTCTCATGTGTGCAGAACCTGGAACATTCGAAGTTATTACTTGTACTTCCTTCATCAGGCGCAAAACACTTCTCTCATCCTCATTATTTGCAGAAACTGCATCTCCCCGAGCCACTCTTTCTGTGACACAATGCACAGCCCATGGCGATACAGCGGCAAGATTAGTAGCTACAGACGGGAACGTATCTCGCTTTACCTTTAAAGAAGTATGTATCAGAATTTTCCATCGCTGTAAAATATTAAATGCGGTGAACAAAAACAAATAGTGTTCCTGAAAATGACGATCAGCCAGGTTGAACAGGTGTTTAACATGTCTCTTCATAGACAGACGCTCAGAACGTAAGTGGTCTTCGAACCCTCCTAAACCATACAGAAACAAGGTAGGATAGATCATCGGAAACAGATCCGGCTGAAAAAATTCATTGACAGGTTCAGGATCATGGGGGATTTGGATGTATCCACCACCCTTGTTCTTTATATGATGTACTGCCACAGCTCGCAACTCATTCACAGAGGCATGACCATCGACATCAGTAACCACCACACTCTCAAAATTAGACTGAGGTTCAACTGAATGTGACTCCGAATCAAGTGAGTCTTCCAATTGCATCACTTCATCTGCATCGTATCTCGAAGTCAAGGATTCTCGCGCATCGTTAGGAAGAATATGATCGACATGAAAGGGCATCAATGTCTCCTCTTCCATCGAATCCAGTATGGCGTGATCAATGGTAATGTCCTTGTACAATCGGTTGTGTTTCTTCAACCAAACTAATGCAGCACACACTTTTTCTCTTCGCACTATCAAAGGTTTGGCTTTTTCTTGAAGCCATTCTCGAGATGGTGGACATGAACCCACAAAAATGATGCAGATCGGAGTGACAATGTCATCAACTGTTGGAGGCAAGATGGCGGCAATACCTTCCAGGCGCTGAGGATAGATGATTATGTGTCCTTTAATTCCTCGTTGATTAGTTGACAATTGCAGGTTCTGGTTTTCTTCCTTAAGCTGAATGATCCAGCACTTTGCACGACAACGAGCAATCATGGCTTCCTCAACGACCATCAAATCCTTTAATTCATTAGGTACGTCTCCTAAAAAAAGTGCAGTTCACGAGGCTAAGAGCCGGTCATTTGCCCTTCACAAGTTTTTTGTGGCATACACTGCAGAGAGACAGCTGATACTCACCATCGCTGCATGTTTTTACTCCAGATGGATCGAGCATCAAATCACTAAGCACATCATTCGATTCTGCAAATGGAATTTGAGGTAGGGGACAATCTCCGTCAAAATAATCACCTGACATATGCTGATCATCTTGTCGGTCTGGTCTGCACAACAGAGACAAATCAAAATCATCCAGAGATACTAATGTACATTCCGAACACAAAACACTTTCAGCACAAGACGCGCATGTAAACATGGCCAGATGTTCAGAAGAAGTCTCATCCCTAAACATCTGCACCAAACGACACTTCAAATCCGATGACGGAATCTGGGGCCATTCACGACAAACCTGTCGACGATGGTCTTCACGATCATTAGAATTAATAGATTTCAACTTTGCTTTTCGTAGTGACTTGATATGCTTTCTCAGCGTATGATGAAGTTGCCCTGTTTTCGAACCGATGACAAAACTGACACCATTTGCTTTCAACAGCCGTTCAAGAGGACGTCGTTTTGTAGTTGTCAATATAGCAGTCAAAAACGCTATCCTCGCAGAAAGCACGGTATCCTCACCACTACAAGACATGTCAAGCCCTTGACGGATCAATTCGCAGCCCTCAAAATGTTGCGATACATGAGAACCACAACATCCTGTGCCAACATGACGAGATATAGCCTGATGCAAATCCTCCATAGATACATTAGGATTCACTTTAAGGCCATGTGCAACTGCCAATTCACTCAGGCTTGATCTCGACAAGCTTTCATAACCACCAAAAAAATTATCGACAACATGTTCATTTCGCAAAGGTATAGGTGAAGATGCAAGAGATAAACCCGCTTGGGTTGCAGTAGAAGAACCCGCTTGGGCAGCTAAACATAGACCCGCTTGGGTAGCAGTACTTAAATCTTCTTCTTTATTAGAGATAACAGATGAAGAGAGGGAAAGATTATCTAGAAACAATCATCAAACATATGAAAATAATCTATACAAATATATGTACCTCGAGGCCAAAGATTCCAACTATGATCATCAGGAAGCTGGGCAACGTCTAAATCCGAAGGTCGAAGGAATTGTATGCCATCAGACTTTGCATTCACAAATGCAAACCAATCACGGCCCAACTCGACGTCACACCCATTCAAATAGACAGATCGAAATGTCTGTCAAGAATTGTACCAACCATCAACAGTAGGAACACGCACAGGCCCAAAAGCAGATTCCACTGTGACTCCATCATGATTGATGACAGAACGCAGAACATTGCGATCATGCAGAAAAGACAATGATACAGTTGAATCAAGACTCGCATCATCGATGCGAATAACAGCAAGAATGTCGGCGAAAGATCCGAGGACTTTATGAGGAAACATAATGTGTAGTCAACAACTGACAAATTAGATGGATGTACACAGACAAGTTCAAAACCGTGTGAATCAAACGCCACAAACAGACGTGTTTAGGGCCGGAATCGATTTTTCACCAAAAAAAATTGAGATGAGGTCCAAACGGCCATGGCACGGAAAAAACCCACTACTTACGTAGCGGGAATAATTAGAAGTACATGATCGATCATGTAGGGAGACACCGAAAGCGACATGCATGACGAAATTCAAATTGCCAGAAGAGCAAAAGGTAACTAGAAAAGATTCAACGTTCATGCCCCTGGCAGTCATAATAGCAGTGGCGATTAAACCAACAAGTAAGCAGGTCTCCAGTATTGCAGACAAGACCCACTCATTTGGCCTGTCCGTGGTCTTCGAAATCGTAGAATATAGCTCACAAGACTTTGCAACAGAGCCCAGATTGATTCGGAACTTTTCCACCAAATCGAGAGGAGCTGACGAGAGTACTATGTTACAACAACATCCGTTTTGCCCACCTCGGCATCGCGATGCACTCCCGCACATTCTCAATCCCGCTCATCCAGCTAATCAGTCGTTCGAACCCCAGCCCATAGCCCCCATGAGGCGCGCTCCCATACTTCCTCAAATCCACGTACCACCCGTATTCTTCCTCCTTAAGCCCATGCCTCTGTATAGCCTCGACCAAATGAGAATATCTCTCTTCTCTGAGCGACCCACCCACGAGCTCGCCGATGAAAGGAACTAGAAGATCAAAGCACGCTACAGTTTGCCCATCATCATTAGCTCGCATATAGAATGGTTTCAGGGAGGTTGGGTAGTCTGTGACAAATACAGGACCGCCGACAAGTCGTTCCGAAAGCCAACGCTCATGCTCGCTTTGCAATGATCTCCCCCATGCAGGCTGGAATTCGAATCCAACTCGAGAAGAAGCATGGTATTTCTGCAACGCCTTTACAGCATCAGTGTATGACATGCGTTGTCCAGGGCATTTCAGGGCGCGATGCATCTTCCAGAGATTTGAGTTTTGCTTCGGTCGCCATCTTTCCAAAGGAGTGCGTTTTCTGATCGACACTGAAGGAGGACATTTTTGAGAGACTCCTCAACCACATAACATACGTCTCCGACGTGGCTAATAAATGCCCATTCAGCTTCGAGCATCCAGAATTCCGCAAGGTGCCTATTCGTTTGAGAACGTTCTGCCCGGAAGCAAGGAGAGAGCGTGTAAACCCGAGAGAGGGAAGCAGCAAGGGCCTCCAGGTGAAGTTGCGAAGACACAGTAAGATATGCCGGCTGGGAGAAGAACTCGGCTTGTGCGCTCGGATCGGGCGATTGCCCTGAAGAAGGGGGCGGAAGAAGCGGGGCGAGACACGAAACGTTTCAACCACCACCCTCACAATCGTTTGAAGTCAGAATGGGCGTGTGCACGTAATGGAAGTCTTGGGCCTGGGTTTGGACGTGTCAACAACAGGGCGGACGATGGGATGTTTATTAGCACCTCATAATAACTATGTAGCGTCCGAAGGACAGAGTCACGTAGACGGAGCATAGCAGCATTGATATCTGTTCGAGCCCTCAGATGAGCATTGTCCCTTAGAAATTCCACGGGTAGGGCTTGCTTTTGGATAGGGTAGGCCTTCACAGAGTTTAAATTGGCAGTATTTTATCCGTAGATAACACGTACCTCCGGGTTACATTCACCCAAGACATCAACCGCTTCAAACATGCAGTTCATATGATTGTCCGCGGCCCAAGCTTTGGACCAGGTTGCCACAAATGCGGACGCTGGCACCATTGGTTAAGCTGAGTGACGGTATTATGAACCTCTATGTTCCGAAATGCCTTGAGAACATACTTGTGTGGGGTAGCATCTGGCTTCAAGACTGCTTGCAAGCCGGAACCACAACTTCCATCGTTAATCACCGCGAAAGTGACATTTTTCTGTCTTCGTACAGATTTGATCCAACCACTCAATTGTACTTTAGTCACATGGCCAGTCGGTTGCAGGGAAGAAAGTAGCTGCCGGATCGTTGGCGGCAACGTTGAAGTTGACGCAAAACGGCGCAGGAGCATGAAGGAACTGCACAGCCACACGCGTCTTTGAACAATTTTCATCGTGATCTTGTGGCAATGATATTATTATGTACCATGTTACATGTATGGTCTGCAAAATGATTCAAAACCACATGAGAAGTCCAGGAGAACTCATAAATAACTGATACAAACCGAGCGAGTGTGTAGCTCGGCGCCATATTTTAGCATTAGCAAAAAGCAGAAACACGATATACAGATGACAATGCGATACGAGCATGATATTTTTGGGAATGAACCATCAGAAACCCCTGCCTCGTCCCCTTCCCCTGCCTCGACCACCACGCCCGCGGTCAACCAACCCACTCCCTCGTGCACGGCCCCTTCCGCGTGCATCATCCTTCTTCCTGCCCTTGGGTTTTGGTGCGTCATCCACTAATAGTGTATCAAGAGGGAGGGCATCGGGAAGCACAAAGTAGCGGATATTGTTGCCGCGAATAGATAGGGAGTCGAGGGACGTTGGGTCCCGATTACGGGCTGTCATTTTGACAGTTTTAAGGTGGGTATTCATCTGCATATCTACGCCTGTAAAAATGGTTTAAGATTTTGCAAACAGTGTCAGTCTCGTCCATTTGACATACCAGTAATTGTGCCATGGACTACAGAGCCATTCTTGAGCTCAATGGTCACGGTCTCATTATTGAGTTTCATCAAGAATCTGATGGAAACAAGGGTCAGCGCCCGATCTTTGTAATGCACAAAATGAAAGGCTTCTTGAAAATGTCAGATCAAGACGAAAGAAACGTCTTCTGCAGTATTCACCTTACGAGCTTCATGGTGGATTATGTCGATCCCGCAACCTAGTCGTACTTACTGTCTGAGGCTGATCGTCTCGGCGCCCCTGTTGACCCTTGTTTGTGTGATGGATGTTTGGTGACGGTTCGATTTGCCGTAGTTTTGCCGTAATGTCGCATACATTTTCATAGTCCGCTGTATTTATCGTCCCTGCCACACCAACCTGCCACGACAACAAAGTTACCACGTAGTGCTAGTGAAACCATTGCTTTCGAGAAGATTCAATAAATGTCTTTGCGCGTCATACATTTACATAGTTGTTATGCATCCGTGAGAGTACCGGATTAATGATGTATTAATGTTTTTTCTCCGAAATTCCTCCTCGGGTATCATTGTTTGTTCTTATTTTGAGTCTGCATACCGCATGCTGCTTTGCTCCGCACGGCAATTTGGCCCCTACTACTAGCAGTATGTATACCAAAGAACACCGAACATCTTGCTGGACAAGTCACGGGCCACGGCAAGTGGCAGAAAAGCCAATTAATTTACCGGCCTGACTAGCTCATTTTCACGAGCTTGTTGCAAATAGCAACACCGGCCTCCGCTCATTATTATTTAAAAGAACAGCACCATGTCATGAGGATGATTTATTCAGAGTGTTTCAAAAACAACCCATAATGACTCTGTCCAGGACGTTCGTTGCCGCTGTGGTCGGTATACTGTCTGCAGCTACTTCTGCTAATGCTATCACGAACGGAGTTGGTAAACTGCCTGGTCTGTCTCTCAGTTCTTCCCGATGCAATGATGCTTCATTGACATGATTGGTGTAGTGATGGGTTACAATGGTACGTGTTGTTAAGAGCGCAGGAGCTCACCGTTGACAATTAGACCCTGTGGCTGTCAGCTTGGAACGCCTTTGCGGTGAGTGAAAATTCTCAACCAAAAATGGTGACCTCATTATAGTATTCAATAGTGCGACGTCAATGAGACTCTCATCATCCAGACTGCGAATTACATGAAGGAGTATGGCCTCCTGGTTAGTATCGTTTGACACAGCAAAATCAGACAAATTTCACTGAATTACTTCGTTTTAGGATGTTGGCTATAATCACGTTAATCTTGATGATTGTTGGGCTATGAAGGACCGTAGCTCTACTGGCGAGGTCATGTCGGGTTAGTTTTCGCTGAAAACCATCACAAACACGTGCTAAGCGATCCTCATCGAAGATAATATCAGATTCCCAAGCATGAACACGCTCACAGATCAGCTTCATGCTCTTGGTTTGTACGTGATCATGTATTCTCCGTGATACAACACCATTTTCATGTGTCCCCTAGTTACGCAGGCATTGTATGAAAGTTACCCCTGACGAGAAAATTCTTTCTCACCTTCAGTTCTAGTATTCTGACTCTGGCTGGTTTACCTGCGCTGGGTTTCCTGGCTCCTTTATGCATGAGGAACAGGACGCGACGACCTTTCAATCCTGGGGTTTCGATTTCCTCAAGTGAGCACTACTCGTAAGGATGACTGGAAGGTTGCTGACAACTCAATTTAGATATGATAACTGCGCCAGTAAGCATATCCGTGTTCAGGAACTACCAGACAATGCTAACATTTTTGTTCTAGTTCCATTTGATGATATCATCCAGGAGGGCATGATCGGAAGTGGGTAGAAATCCTCTCACCTTAGTCTATTGCCTAAACATTTTTGGTCATAGAATACCAGCGCATGGCAGATGCTCTCGCTGCGGTGGCAGAAAAAAACTGGCACTACCCTCATATTTAGTCTGTGTGAGTGGGGCTGGGTAAGTCTCACCTCCTACACTCATTTGTTTTCTATCTCACGTATCCAACGATTCTCTCAGAGTCAGGTCTGGCTGTGAGTATCAATTCACCCTGACAATCACTGTCTCACAGGAAAAGTACAGGTGGGGTGCCCAGATGTCTCACAGTTGGAGAGTTCGTCGCCTCTCATTAAACTCTGGCGACACACTGACCGAAGATTTGCTTAGATTGATGGTGATATTGGGCCCCAATGGAACTTGATTTCTAGTATCATCAACTCGTGAGTCACTGCTTCAAGGGATTTTGCTTTGCTAATATTCAATACAGCGTATCGTTCATTACTCAAGCTACTAACTACTATGGACGCAATGATCTCGACATGGTAGGTGCAACCGAGCGTCTTGTTTTTAATAGTACTTAGTATATTATGCAAACGACAGCTCGAAATAGGGAATGGAGATCTCACGTACGACGAAGCAAAAACTCACTTTACTGCATGGGCTCTTGTCAAGGCCCCCCTGCTCATTGGCACCAATGTGGGTGCTTTATTCATTCTCAACAACGCAGCTCACCAGCGCTCCTCACACTTAGCTCGCTACCATAAGTCAGGAAATGCTCAGTATCCTGAAGAATCAAGAGATCATCGCAGTTAACCAGGACCCCATCTATGGCACTAGCATCTCGCCCTTCCGCTGGGGCATCAATGTACGTCACTGCCTTTTTTGGTGTTTTTTTTAAAAAAATCATAGATGTCCTTGGCTGAACAGTCTGACTGGACCTACAATGCAATGTACCCTGCTCAATACTGGAGCGGTCCCAGTGAGAACGGAACGGTTTTCATGCTTGTACGTCATTTCAGAACATCGGTATCATAATGATTTCAATATTAATACACTTCAGATCAACACTGAGAGCGAACCGGCTAACATGTTTTTCAACCTCACCGAATCTCCTTGGATTCGCGCTGGTATCCAGTATTCCGTCCGGGTAGGCTCTCACACCATGTGGCACTTCGCAGTCGTCGCTGATCAATTTTTTGGGATAGGATTTGTGGACGCACACGGACAACGGCACTGCTGTACGTAGCTTCACGGCAATGAACGTCCCCGCGCATGGTGTAGTGGCGCTGTTGCTCAAGGAAGATGGGAATGAACCCACTGGGTTGATGCCACCCTGTGCTGGCGAGGCTTTTTATGAGTGCACCGCTGAGAATGGGACGAGTTATTCATGAGCCACGTCTAGTCTTACCCCTCTGGCACTCGCTGTGTACACTCATGTTTCTCGACTTCAGAATTTAAATAATGTAAATTTTGAAGGATTGACCCATGCGGATCTGCTAGAGTTGTTGGCTGATATGTTAGTCCTGCAAATCCACAATCACAAGGAATCCATAAAACGAGATTCGAGATCAACCCGAGAATCAAGGGCAATTTCGACAGCCAGGCCTGCTCCTCTGTAGCTTGTTACAATGTATCAAACCCATGCCAAGTACAATCGGCTGTCGTACCCATTGCTTAGAGTGTTGGGGAAACCATCCGCGAGTGCAATACCGACAGTATACCTTCATATGTGGCTTCTATTGTCTGTAAGTACTCCTCCGTGTTATGATCTTGCATGTTGCCAGCGGGTACATCCAAAGTAAACGATGGCTTGAAGTGGAGGTAGCCAGAATACTCGGGGATATCAGCGTCCAAGGATAGTGGAATTCCGCCCTATTAGACACAATGTATCAATACACGACGAGCCAGAATATGATATTCAAACATACTGCCACAGAGGTGAGATATGTCCAAGCTCGCGCAGCATTGGGCGTGTTATAACCACCTAAAGCCTAGGATGGTATGCGTGAAAATGATCTGATAAGTAGCACTATACCTCCACCAAGTAACATTTTTTTCCCTTGCCATTCGTGAACGATGCGCTGTATGCACCAACCGAGCGAGCCTTCGCCACCCAAGGACCAGTTGAAGGTTGCCATGGGATCACCCGCTAAGCCATCTAAGCCACACTGAACTAGAATGAAATCAGGCTGAAAGATGTCCTTGACATGTTCGATGATGGGCCAAATGCGGAGGAATGTTTTGGTGGACGCGCCAGCTTTGAGTGGCACCGATAAAGTGAAAGGATCGAAGGCCGGATCATTGACGTCCGGAAGGGAAGCAAGGGGGGAAACAGGGAAAAAGCCTGGAGCTGCGTGATGAATAGATAACGTCTGAAAACAATTCCATGAGTCATAAATTGACAATGACTCGAAGTGCACGCACGAGAACTTGAGCAGTAGTCGTAGAACCAGGTTTGTGAAAAGCTTGTGACACTGCATCTGAAAAATGAAGGTCGAGGTCAAGATACATCACACGTGGTTTCTTCAACGGATGCGCAGACGGTACTGTTCGTTTCAGGAAGAGGATAGCGAGAACGCAGTCAGCGACGTAACAGAAACCTGAAGCCTGTGCTTTTTTGGCGTGATGTCTGTATATGATGACACTGAGATTGCAAGGAAAGTCCGCGGTGAACTGAGCTAGTGCTTACCTTCCGCCATCCCAGCAAATGGCTACGTCCGAAATATCGTTTCTGATGACAGCTGCTCCGGTCAAAGTGGCTCCCGCGACTTGTGTGATATAGTCCTCGATTCCATGAAACATGGGGCAGTCCTACATAGATGCACCGACAGGTCACGAAACGACAAAATCTGTTTGGTATACGCACGTCTTCAAGCCCAAACTCTGAAGCTTCTAGCAGGTTCTGCGCATCAATTGATTGATTCATGGCGTATTCGAGATAGTCACGAGTATGGTAAACCAAGAGCTCCTTCTTGCCAGCAGGTCGTGGTCGCACAACCAGGAATCGTTGGGGCGCTTGACCAGTGCATGTTGTCAGAAGTCCATATGCGTGAATGAGTGAATAGACAAGGAGAGAACGGTTTCTATTGGAAGGTAGACGTGAAGATATCTGTCAGTAGTGGAGAATATCCGAGAGAATCATTGGATTAGACGTCACTCGGCGATGACATACATCATAGGTACTCTGTAGAAGTGTGCTCACTTTGACTAGGTCTTCTGAGAAGATGTAGGCCACGGGCTTAGCACGCAACCCAGTAGATTCGACACCGGAGTCCATTCGAGTTTGTCACGGTGGCACTGCACAGTACCCTACAGTACCGCTACGGACAGTCAAAATGAGTGTAAATACTGCTTCAAGTATAATTACATGCTGGATGTTGTCCTTGCTCGGAGTCGTTCATGACAGTCCTTATATGTATAACAGCAAGAACGCCTTCTCTCGTATGAGGAATGACTGTAATCGAACAAAATGCAGTGACTGTATTCAGCACCTTGAATGCGGGCTTTGTGCCCTTTACTGTACAATACGAAGTGTTTGGCATAATAGCGCAATTGAACGTTCAGTTGTGAGGTCACTGGTCAGGCTTCATTAGCAGACAGCGCCTTCCGCAGGAACTGGATCGATTCCTCTTCCTGCTGACCAAATATCTCAAGAGCTTCTTTGATCTTCCGGGAGGTTTCTGCATCTTTTGAAATTGCAATTTGCAAGGCAGCTGCGTTGTTGGACAGGTAGTCAGCATCAAACACTGTATGTAAAGATTAAGGTCGTGGTTTGATATCGAAAACGCAGTAAACAAACCAAATTTTTCTTCAGTCACTTTCATTGTAACAGCAGCCAACTCATCATCCGATCTTCCGGGAGCAACAGCGAGCAGAGCGAGAACCCTGTCCGATATGGTCAAGTGATGCGGACGAAGTGTTGCTAGAGCAACAGCCTGTAGAAGTGATACGCATCAGCATGCAGGAGTTCGCCAAATTCAATACTCACCTCATCTAGTGTGATGATACTGGTTGCACAAAGCGGGTTGAGTGGACCATACGTTCAGGGTGAAAACAATTTTTACCTCGCTGGCATCACAGTTGTGCTTGTTTGTTTCTCCTTGAAGGCTTGTATAATGGAGTATATGATTGGTGACATAGGATGCTGCCGAACGGGGTCGCTGTATTCGATATACGAGGAGGCACCTTCAGGAAAGTGTATTCGTAATTCTAGGGCTTTGATTAGATCTCGCTGATAGAACGTTCTTGTGCCAAGTCTGGGAAGCCTACCATTGAAGTAAGGTGCAATATAGAGACATCCCGCCTGTGATGCTGCCATAGCCTGCGGGACAGAGAACAAACAAGTTCCAAGTGTACGTATGCCACTTTCTTCTAGCTCCTTGCACGCAAGGATACTTTCGGGAGTGACTGGTATTTTTATACAGACCCTATCTCTGGGGAAAGCGCTATCAGTCTATCCCCTGAAAAATGAACTAGACTGTTCTACCCACCTAGATATGCCGTGTTTGGCAAAGACACTGATAAGAGCCTTTGCGTGTGCGACGGTGGCATCTTTGTCGTACGCTGTACGAGGGGATGTCTGCGCGAGAACCCTACCCGTCTTGTCCAAGTATGGAATGACTTTGCTAGCTAGAAGGACAGTCTAAATGACAGAATTTCAACTTGAAGTTGATCGATGTGTATTGCGATCCCAATCATACATACCACGAGATTGAGTACCTCCAGAATACCATCCTCTGTTGATATGTCGATTGCAGCGTCTTGGACATACTGAGACACGAGAGGTTCCAGGTTCGCGTCCCATTGTACTTGTAACTGGCCATTCACAATCGCCTGATTGGATGTCATGGAATGAAACGTCGTTGAGACAGACAGGGATTCGGCTGCCTTGGGATCCATTGAATCAATGTCCACGACAACTCCAAGGGCTTGTATCTGCGACAGTAATGTATTGCTCATGATGGCGGTTTGGCAGAATCAGTGAGTATGGCCGCTCAAGCTTGATCAAGGTTGATTTCGAAATTCGAAGTGCCTCCGAGTCAATCCCAAACCCCGTGTACATATTACGTACCAGTCACGAGCAAAGGCATGCACTTTTTCAACCGTCTCTTAAGTTCATCCCCATTATTGCCCAGTGACTACAAAGAGCATGTCTCTTACAACCATTGACGTTGGCCAATGCTAGTGGGAGATGTCTACTAAGTGTCGCTTGCAAGTACTTTCCGGGCCTTCGGAAGGCATCCCGCACCTCTCTGTCGTGCTCTGCCAGACCAATTTGAATGTGGTGGTCCATGTGAATGTTGCTCGTAGTAAATATAAACTGCAGGCACAAGACATCATGTCAGCTCCACAGTTCCTAACTCTGCATCCAGAAGAATATACTTGGCCTGTTCCCGGGATGATACCGTGAAATAGGAGTCTACCAGGACCTGCTGTACGAAAACTCAAGCGCATATATAGATTGCTCGTTTGGAATGGAATGGGTTATGGTCCTATGGAGTTGCCAAAGATGTCGGTGCTTACCAGCTGCCAGGCCTGTTCCCGGGCCAATGGTAACCACCGTGACGTGCTAACGTACACCGTCACGGACCACGGTAGCTTCATAGACACGCAGGAAGTTCGGAATAATGCAGGTCCGTCACAACTTGAAGAGCATTGTTAGGTGCTTGGACAATGGAAACCCAAGTTCGAAGAGGTTAGCCGGGCCGCCCAAGTCACCGGATTCACCGGAAGTATGTACAACCAGTATAGGGTTCCGGGAATTAGGGCAATGGCGGCTGCCCTGCTATGCCATGGCGTCTGGTTGACAGGCAAATAATCTGCAGGTGAATTTCGCCCAGTTGACTGTAATCTACTCTGCAGACTCCCATATATATCTCCCACTCGTCATCCATTCATCCATTGATGGAGGTCCGTGACTCATGAGGGTAATTATTATGTAATCCAGGTTGAAACCGGAAAAATTATACTTTGATTCCTTTGGAACGGGAATGTTGGACGGCAGCGCCTTGAGATACTGTCGCAGTCCAGCCAGTTGGTCCTTCAAGTGAGATCTTGAGATTTGGGTGCATGTAAGCTGTTGGTATTGTCGGGGATTGACTTCAAGTTCTTGCTAGTTTTCACAATATTCGGATAGCCCATCGGCATAATAATGGATACTGTATCAACTTTATTTCAACTATGTGGAGCCGCAATAAGCCCATGATGGATCTTTCAGGTGTTTGAGCTGTTAGGATAATTTGTCCAGTATATCATACTTAAGCTTTTCAGGTGTTCTGGGTCCAACAGACACAGACTTTTCATCCAAATTAACATAGTGCTATGTTTTCGACTGGCTCCCACTGGGGGCGCGTATGTATTGTCATTCAGGGTATAAATTAAATATTTGCAGGGCAAATTCGGAACCCTAAATTACCGGTGGTTACCTCCTTGCTTCAAAAACACCTCCAATTATTACTACATAATTGCGGCTTAGAGGTTTCAATTGCAAGGAAGTTGTCTGTGGCACCCGTCACTAGTATTCGCTGGCAGCTAGCCTTGGCAGTGTGAATCCCACAGGCTAAAATCAGTTATTCAAGTGAAGTTCGGGGAGAACGTTTTGCACGAACCGCCGCTTGCGAGTCTTGTGGTCCTTCCCAGTACTTCTCTGCAACTTCTTTGTATTGGTCACGCGTTCCACTGCGCACAACGCCGGTCCGCCCTGACAGGCCCTGACATCATGACCATTCATTATAAAAGGGCCATCTGGTCGGCTGTGTGTATCCCAGCAACTTGGATCGCAAGATGCTGTCCAGCCTTCTGAGTCGTGGCATCCTCGCAAGCGCTATTTTCGCAAGTTGTGGTGTCGCGGTGACGACTGTCAGTGTCAATGGTACAGCTGCCCACAGCATTCCGCCTCTGCTTTGTGAGTTGAGACACTACCTGCGACCCTATTTTGCGTTAACATACCACTCAGTTGGACAGATGTTCGAGGCAAGTAGATAGTGGTAAAACTCGTACTGCTTTCTGACATGCAACATATCGGTGACTTATAGGATATCAATGTACGTTTCCTTTGATGTTCGACCGTAGCCTATTCATCTGTTCCACTCTCATTATAGTATGTAAGAGAATATCATCATGGTCAAGATAATTTGAGTTCTTTCAAAATAACGTCTACCCTCTTTCACAGAGTGGTGACGGTGGTATTTACGCCGAATGTCAGTGCTTCATCGAATTTACGCTCCTGGAATGTTCCTGAGGTTCTTTTACAAGTGCTTCAAAATCGCGCCTTCCAGCAGGTGACACCGAGTAGGATCCACATAACTATATCTTCCTCACTGTAATCCTGAAACGTATCTAGACACAATTGACGCGCTCTTCGGCTGGGCTCCAATCAACGGCACGTCCATCAATGTTATTGCTGACCCCATCCCGCTGTCCGATGCCCTGCCCAACTCCCTTGAGCTTACCATCCCATCTGGCTCCTCTGTTCAAGTCGGATTCGGCAATGAGGGCTATTGGGGTATGTCCAACTAACCTCGGGACTTGTGCATCGAGTTCACTGTTTTCCCTCTAGGCATAAACATCAATGCCTCTTGGACTTACAACGCCTCTTTCTACTACAAATTCCCAAGCGCATCCGACTTTTCTGGCAAAGTCACTGTCATGCTTCAGTCTTCTATTGGCGCAGTCTATGCAAGCGCTTCTGTGCCTGTCTCCGGCTCCACCACGACCTGGACGCAGGTCGTGGTGCATCTCACACCTTCCTCAAGCCCTGTGTCAACTACCAACATTTTCACGGTCACGGTCGATGGTGTCAGTGCTATCGGAGGGAAGATCAACTTCGCAATGTTTTCTCTCTTCCCTCCAACATTCGGGGGCAGAGCCAATGGCCTGCGTATGGACATTGCGCAGGCGTGTTTTCATCTGTGGTTGAAGCAACATGTTCTGATAGCAGCACATAGACATTGTATGACATGAAGCCTTCGTTCTTCCGTTTGCCTGGTGGTAACAACTTGGTAGGCTCCATATAGCGCCATATTCATCTACGCTGACTATCTTTGTAGGAGGTAAACCCAAAATATTGACCACGCTATCTGTGGACTCGATCGTTGACGCAACACCAGGGCCAAAGCTTTTCTACACGCTGGCAATGGAATGCGACAGTAGGAAACCTTATTGACCGTCCAGGACGCATGGGTGACTGGGGATACGTCAACACTGAGTCCGCGCCATTCTCGTGACTTTTATTCTGCCATCAATAACAAATTGCCCTCCCCTTTTTTCAGCGGTCTCGGTCTTCTCGAGTACATGTATCTTTGCGAAGATATGGAAATGGAGCCCATCATGGCTGTATGGGCAGGTATATAACAGGCGTGCATGCCATATGTTTGCATGCTTATTTCACACACAGGGTACTCGCTCGATGGAGCCAGCCTCCCTGAGAACGATCTCGCGCCATACATCCAACAGGCAATCGACCAGATCAACTTTGTCGTTGGTGACTCCGCCACGAGTAAACCAGCTGCTCTGCGTGCATCTCTTGGTCACCCAGAACCGTTCAATCTGCAGTATGTCGAAATTGGCAATGAAGACTTCTTTGCATCAGAATCGTGAGTCCTTTATCTCAAACTAGCGGATGAACGAGCATGTCAATAATACACCACAAGGTATATATACCGCTGGAGAGATTTCGCGGGCAACTTGACGGCTACATTCCCTCAGCTGAGTGAGCGCTACACTGCTGTCCAGGGGCTTGCCTCTGACTGATACATTTCTTGGTAGAATTCATCGCGACCTCATACCCTTTCAATCCCATTCTCGATCCCATCCCAAAGCAGTATGATAACCACGTGTACCAGACACCTGGATGGTTCGCAGAAAATGCGTTCTACTATGATTCTGTCGAGGTTCGTACGCTCTGCATTCGCCTCATCTCCTAATGGGAACCTGAATGTGACACGGCCGAAAGCGCAATGGCACTTACTACTTCGAGGGTGAATATGCTGTTGTGTCAACTAACGCCAGCGATATCTTCGGCACACCCGCCAACGGTCGCCTTGTATACCCCAATATGCAAGGTGTGTACTCTCTCGTGGTGATGAACCGTACCTGACGCCAGGATAGGATCTTCAGGAGAGGCCGCATTCATGACCGGTCTCGAGCGTAACAGTGACATCGTCTTCGCTGCGTCGTATGCTCCCTTGTTAATGGTGAGCTAACTTTGCATACTGTAACTGGAGTGAACACTAATAATCGCACTGTAGAACATTGCCAACTATCAGTGGTCACCCAACCTTATTGCCTTTGAGTGAGTCATTCACGACAATCGAAAATACACATCAGATTCATGTCCCCTCAGTGCGTCAAATGTGTACCCATCAACCAGCTTCTATACACAACAGGTAGTGATATTTGATATCTGAGCAGAACTGCGTCCCTCAAACATCTGCTGCAGCTCTTCAGTCTCAACCGTGGAACCGAATATTTGCCAAGCACCTTGCCTCAAAATGCCACACTCCACTGGAGTGTCACACGTGATGCACCCACCAACACGATTATCATCAAGGTACTTAAGGCTCTAATTCTTCTGTCGGTTGTGACGATGTTGATATTTCGTAAGATTGCCAACACAGGCATGACGGCTGAAGAAATGACATTCGAGCTGCCCTTCAACGGTGTTCACGGCACTGGCACTGCGACAGTGCTCTCAGGCTCTGCCACTGCAAGCAATGCACCCGAGGCTCCCAACGCTGTCAAGCCCATCACTTCACAGATTAAAACTGGTAAGAGTTTCTCGTACACTGCCCCAGCGTACAGTGTCAACGTGCTGCGGGTGGAGGCGGATTAGGGGGATAGAGTATCGCTTGGCAACTTATGCATGTCACACCAAAAGAGGCAATCATAACCTCATACCAGGCAATTGATGTTTTTTTATAACATAACGGCCCGCTGGGCATCCCAGGACCCTTCTTTCTTTTCTCTTTGCATTCGTTTTCAGTCCTGATCGTTCCTCTTACCAACATTGTCATTGGCATTCTACCGTACAGTAATTTGTTTGTCGTTAAGCTGAGTCCAGCATATATGAATTGTCCTTGTTTCATCGGCACTGCGCAGGGCTCCTTCAAGTTTGAGAAAATCCCAACACAGTGGCCTTGTAGGCCGGCAACATCCAGGCGTAGGCCATGAACATGCATATCATAGACAATACAGATATTCCAAAAAATGTACGGGCAGAATCCTACTTTGCCGTTCCGTCTCCAACGCCATCGTTAGATATGAACGCGGCAATTGCTTCCAGCATCAAACCCCACACGGATAAGGCGGAGGTAACCACCTGGACCACACTAACAACCACATTTATGGCAGTTTGGCCAGATATCGTAGATTGCATGTAAGGAGCCCCGAAGAGCGAGGCTCCGGCGTAGATGCCTGTGGAAAGATATGAAACGCATATCGCCAAAGAAATAGCTCATAACATTGCAAAGAAAAAGAAGGGTGATGGTTGGTAGTATCCAAAGGTGCTGAAGAACAGGAGAACGATGATGAGTGTGACTGATGCGGCAGACCAGAAAACTCATCGAGAGGGTGATGCAACATGATGGTCAGCGTGATATAGACTCCATAGAATTCGAAAGAAATTAGATTCCAACCCGTTTCGAAGTTGCCGTGGCATGTGCCAGCGCAAGTACATTGAATACGCTGGAAGTGGTGGTCACGTATGAGGCAAAGGTTGCCTGCAGTGGTGATCCGACCAAGCGAGACAAGAAGGATGAGGTGGCGGTAATCAATACTGGATAAAAATTATACAGTTGAGGACCATAACGCGTACTGGAGAGATAAGTATTGGTACGCACCATTCTAAGGGAGGAGGATCGCGCAGCCTAGCATAAAGTAGACCCACCGTATTTGCCTATCGACAACCTCATCAACGACAAAGTGATCTGTTGCAGAATCATCAAATGTCAATTCAAGTTCGTCGTCACAATCGTCATCGACCGCGACTGGTGGGAGAGCACGACAAATGGCCCCCGAATCTGTTCTTGAAGTCTGTAGCAGCATGCTGCTACGCCCTATTGACATGAAAAAAAGTTGGTTGGCTGGTTCGATAACTGTCGATGCAAGGTGGAGGACTACGGACGGGTGGTGTGACTGTAAAGCAAATACAGTGGAATACAGCCGGAAGAGCGCTGTTCAGTTGATATGCAAGCCTGCAAATTGATGAGCTTCTTTTCCTTCCATTTGCTCGCAGAGCCTGCCAAACCAACCAGGCATGTATGAACAACTTACGATATCGCATGAGTATAACTTGCGAAATATTGTCGTCTTCAAAAGCTCAAACATAATGAGACTGTTGACACACCGAACATCACATACGTGCACTCGTAGCATGTCACATAGGTAAACCTTACGATCGGAACCCCGAACAAGAACAAAGTGCGCTCCGGCGATTGCGGCATAATCATCACGACTCAGGTAAGGAAAGTACCGCAAAGCAGGAACAGTGACGGGCAACAACCGACCAACTGGATACTGATCACGAAGCGCTCGTCGAACTTGAGAGACCTCAGAGAACTCGAAGAATTTGCGTAAAACGCAAGAAGACACGACGGACGAGCCGTCATCAAAAAACTCCTGATCCAACGAGACCAACGATACGGGAGGCATGAGGACAGACGAAGTCGAAGACAAAGAAGAAGACGACGAAGCTGCAGCCATCACAAGTCAAACAAATTAATAGTCAACAACTGAATGATGAATTTCCGAAGGACGTGACGGCAGGTCAAGCATCACCAAAATTGCCGAATTAAGATACCACGTGATATGTGGCAAAATTCACTACATGTGCGATGACGCCGATGAGTCATCTATTGTGAGATACACCAACGATGTTAGTGTGTCAGCATGACATTCATCTGTCAGACTCATTATCGGATAGATACCATCCTGTCTGTAGTGTACCTATTAGACATTTGCTAGATAATAAGATGTATTGTAGTAGCATATATGTAGCCGTAGGAGTTTCCGCAAGTCTCAGGCACGTGCTTCAAAGTACAATGTAGTATGTACAGGGAACCCATTGCAAACACGTAGCGTTTCCTAAAAACTGACTAGTGTATGTAACCACCGACGATTTAAGGTTTAAGCCACTATCTCGGCTCCTTCCAAGTCAAGCTCGTCAACAACTAACTCCAACAGTAGCACATTCAGTGGTCCAATAGTGCTGCTGAAGTCCGGTTTGGTCCAGTCCTCAGGCCTCTAAATGCAAACCCCGAACTGGACCCATGGTCCAGTTCAGGCAATGGATGGATTCTGATGTTTTGGGTGGATCCTAGGGCATGAGAACAGTGCGCTGGACAAGTGCTAGGCACGGGAACGAGCGCTAGATTGAGCAGACAAATGCTAATGTTCCTATAGACTCATTGCTGGTAGTTCTGATAGCACTATAAGCGCGGGAATAGCATCGGATAAGTCGCAGGAGTATGAATAGCGCTGCAGGAATGTGCGCGCATAGTGCGGGAAAGTGCGGGAAAGTGCGGAATAGCGTCGGACAAGGGTTATGGCTGAGACAAGTGAAGACTGCTGATAGGGGAGTAGTGAATAATATGAGGGATAACTTTGGTCCACCTATTGAAGGCTTATGCAGGTATACATGCCTAGTGCCAATATGATTGTCACACCGTACATTTATGCTAGTTTAATGCTCTAACTCCTGCATGATGCTGACGGACTCCTTGTGGTTGTGTGAGTGGTTGTTGATAGTTGATACACGTCCCACCACCTGTGATGTTTTGCTCACTTAAAGCATGTGACGACTGAGCGATAAGCCATTACATTACCTGTTCTACTTTTCAAATTTGAGTTCGAAAGAGCATCAGTGGAACAGCGCACTGGAGCGGTCAAATGAGGTCCCCAACCAGCGGTTGAGCTGGACGATTTTGATCCCCTCTCTCGCTGGGATAGAAAAAATTGAATATACTGTAGAGCTACAACACTAGCTTTGTCACGTGCAGCGTGTGATTATGTCACACTCAGTGTCACTGGTTCGAATGACCATGTGACCTGTGACCACACCCAAATAGATTCGCCCGCGGGTGCTTTGCTGCTTGCAACCATCTGACATGCCGCTGCTTCATGATTGTGTGACGTGCCAATGGATGCACTTCTTGACCATATGGCTTCCAGGGGTGAACAGATCCATTCTGACTGCCATATCAATGCAGATGGTGGACTTTCGTGTGCAAACCACTCTGAAGTCTATGATGTGGGTGGCATTGCCACTGAAGATGTGGAAGGTAGCTCGAACAGTGTTCCGACAGTTGATTATGGGCATGGAAAGCGTAGACGCATCACAAATTCGATGTATAATGATTTTTGGTCCCATTAGTGCACAACCTATGTTTTTCCTATGTTTTTTTCCGAATGTCACAAATTAGCTTCGTCCCGCCAAAATTCATGTGACGGTCACACCAAATAGATTTGATTCGTCAAGGGCTGTGACCTGTGACGAACCTAGTGTCGTAGCTCTACAGTATGTTTGATTAATTC